TCGGAGCCTTGGTCGGGGGGGAGAGCGCGCAACGTCCGCTTTGCACTGATAGCGGAAGGGGGGGGGGGGGGGGGGGTGTACTCATAGTCGTGCATGCCGTAGTCGTTTGACCATTGACCTCGCATCCCTACAAAGCCGGGACGGAGCACGCCGGGTTCTCACCGGACCAGGCTCTCACATCACCAAGCGCGAAGCGCCGTGAGGTATTTGGCGAGTCGCATGAAGGGTGAGCTGCATCCTGCTAAGGGTGTTCGGCATCTTGTGCTTACTTCCTTGCGTACGGATGACAGCTACGTATGACTTAATTTATTTTCTGGTGCTTTCACTTCCAGAGACAGTTGTAAGCGGAAGGGGAGAGGGGAAATGGGAAACACGAGCACCGACGGGCGTGCGCGGAACGAAAGCAGTTCTTTGTGGGAACATGTTCGTTCCCTCTGGGAAAGTGTAGCCGAGGATAAACCAACCAAAATCCGCCCAACTTTAGAAACAACACCAAGAGGTCCCCTCAATCGTCTCCAACACCGGCATCCCCCCGCTACCCCCGCAGCCCATGTGCCGCTTTCCCACATGAAGAACCCATCATTCGTTCACTTACGGCGGATCCAGCTCGTCTCAGCTCTCCTCCGCGCTTCTCCTTCTTGAGGGAAGGCGACACTTCCTCCGTTTCCGCCGCCGCCCATTCCTTTTCGAGCTCCTGCACCGGCAAGACAAGAAAATTATTAATATAAAACAGCGCAAACGCTTTTAATTTCAAGACTCGCAAACGGTTGGGATTGACTGTTGTTGTACACACATGTTTGTCCTTGCGTGGTGTTTAATTTTCTTCTTCGTGTCTACGTGTCGGCAGCATACCTGGTAGCAGGTGCGAGAAGATACCAGGCGGGGCCTTCCTGGCACCGGAGAAAACCGTCAACTGTTTTCTGGGCTGGCTCTTGCCCGGGGGGTAAGCGGCCTACGGCTCTTGCCCGGGGGGTAAGCGGCCTACGTTTGACAGGCATCTGCCGGCTGCTCGGGTGAAAGAGGCGATGGGTTTCCATCGAACCATTGGTACCAGCGCCAACTGCAACTAGCTGTGCTACCTTCGTGAGTCTCAACAGCGATATCTAGAAACTGGCCGATACAGTCGGACATTGAGAAAAGTGAAGGTGAAAAGGAAGGCTGGTGCCGGGCTGGTGCACAGCCGTGCAACTCGGAGGGCGGGAGTCCATGGTGGCATGGGGTACTACCCACACACCAATTCGGCCTACGTCCGGCACGGCAAGGCCGGGGCAATCAATCATGTTTTCCGAACTTTCTATTACTAGTCGAACCTCAGTGTCCCCGACATGAACTTAAGCGCAAAAGGCGAATCTACCAGACAACGCATCTGGTTTACCCCTTAGGGGTCTAGCTTCTTTTTTTCGGCGAAAAAAAACAAACGGGGAGAGAGTGCGGGAGAGAGAGAGAGAGAGAGAGAGAGAGAAAGAGAAGTGCAGCAAAAACAGACAAGTGTAATTCTGTAGATGCAACAGCTATCTCCACCCATAGGCCATGAGGGCAGCCCGCGACAGGATGGTGGGCACAGACAGGGTCATAGAAGGGTTGATGCGTGGTCGCGGTGCCGCCGGTAGGGCAGGTTAGGCTTGTAGACCTTGAAAATATCAGTCGTAAACTACTCTATATTTAGTATATTCTAATGATTAGTGAGAGGGCTTGTAGACCCTAGCTGGTTCTTGCACTTCTGTTCTGCTCTGTCCCCTCCCAATGTGAGCCCTGCCTGCTCACTACAGCTCCTGTGATTTTCCCACAATTCCCACAAGCACGCCACACACCAGCACGCACCTACCTTTGCCTCAGTGGCTCTCTAGGTTCGGACGAGGTTCTTTGGGGCTATGGTGATAGAATTATGTGTTGGACTCGTAGTATGCATATAGCTGCTGACACGATGACTGCTGGATCTTGGGAATGTACGATTTTCAAATTTGGAGAACATGCAGCATACCACGATATCCTGGCCTGGTTGGGCTTGAAATTTCCCTTTTTGCTGCCTCCGCCCTTTGCTTCCGTGGTTTCTGGGTTCAGGCGAGGCCATGCATGTGGAGCTATTTGTGTGTGTCTCTGTGAAAGGATATGGGGAGAGATTTCGTTGTGGCATTCCTATTTAGCGCATTGTGCATTTTTCGAATTTTGGTGCCGTTCCAGGGACCTTGATGTTACCCGTTGGCACTAAATGTATTTTCAATGGTCAGCGGTTAGCGCGGTCGATGCTAACAATAAAGACATACCTACCTATGGGCTTGACAACGCCTGGCGTGGAGGGATACAGGGCGGCAATTCCATGGCATGCCACCACCCCAGCATTTAATAATGATCAATCAATGATCTGTCAGGACGCCTGCAGACCCTTCTTGTGCCCTGTAGATGCGACCAGCACGCAGGACGCCTGGTCTATCGCTCATGACTCGTGCATAAATCTTAAAACCTCTTTCTCCTGCCCCAGATAACGGGACAACGTTTGGATTAAAATCGGTGCATAGGTTGCACAGAAGCAAGACAATCTCGAAACATGTGAGGGGGGCTAACCCAGGCCATTCAGGGGCTCGTTCTGACCTCTCTGAGCAGCAGCAGCTCTTCCAGGCTGTACGCCGCCACTTCCTCCTCCCCGAAGCCGATCTCTCCCATCAGCGCCCTGATCCCGTCCTCAACCTCCGTCTCGTGGCTCTCTCTGCCCCCCTCCCGCACCGCAGCAGCAACGGCCGCAGCATCGTCGAGGCTAGCATCGCCTTCAGCACCGGCGCCACCGCTCGCCGAGGTCGCTTCCGACAGGATGGCGTCCACCTCCGAACGCTCAAGCAGCGACGGGTTGGAGCTACTCTCCTCACCGTCGCCGTTCCCCCCCTCCCGCGGCGGTCGCGGGCCCAACAGCGGGTCGCCCCCCGACCCCGCCCGGCGCAGCGATATCCGACCAGCTGTCGGGTTAGCGGAAGACCGCGCGGCGCTCTTCCGGCGGTGGCTGGGGCCGCCCTTTTTCATCGCCGCGACAGCGGCGGCGGTGGGGTCGTCATCGTCGCTAGCTGTGGCCGTTTCGTCGAGAAACGCCCTCCCCGTCAACATTACGCTGTTTGAAACGGACCCGGCGGGTGGTCTGGCCTCCGCCGTCGCCGCCGCCGCCGCGGCCGCCGCCGCTACCGCTGCCGCCACCGCGGCCGCTGCCTGGGCCCGCGCCCTGGCCACTTGTTGCGCCTCCGTTTCGGCCGCCGTTTTCTTCGCCGCTGTCGCCGCTCGCGTTATGCTTATCCGTCGGGGGCGGGGGGTAGCGCGGGGGCGATTGGGGCTGCTGCGTTCGTCGGAAGGACTGGTCGCTGATTCCGCTGCAACAACCCGTTGTGCAGGCGCTGGCGGTGGTGGTGGTGGCGTTGCCGCTGCTGGTACCGGATCGCCCGCACCGGTTTTCTTGGATTTCGACCCGACCGGACGGCCACGCTTCGATCTTGCCGCGGGGGCATGTTCTGTGGGAGCGCTATCCAGGCCTCCTCCTGAAGTCCCCTGCTTGTCTTTTTTCTTTGACTTCGATCCTTTGGGTCGGCCCCGTTTCCTTCGGGGAGTGACAGGGGCGCCAGTTGAATCAGCAGCAGCAGCAGCAGCAGCAGCAGCAGCAGCAGGAGCAGCAGCGGGGGTATTCAAGGCGTTCTCTGCGAGTCTGTCGACATCATCGTTACCATCTGGGCTATCCAAGGCGAGAAGCCACCCGCCATGTGGCCTTCGCCTGAGGGTCGTCGACCTACAGGTCGCGGGGGTGCGCCGGCTCGAGTCCATCTGCTGCAGCGGGTCCAACCTATGAGATGGACGTTCGGCGCTGCAACCAGGGCGCAACAGCCCCGTTGCGCATCGCAGAGGGAAATGATGGACAAAACTTGCTGCGGGATAAACATTGGCGTGCGAAGCGGTAAGCATCGTGGTCGCACCCCCAGCGTGCACAGCAAACAGGGTACAGGAAGGAGGGGAGAGACGGAGGCATAGGCCGTTGACGTGCTGACGACGCACGGTAAATAGCAGCAAGAACGCATTTATTTGCGGACTGCTGTCGTCCTCGAGGTTCCAAGTAGAACCCCTATCCCGGTTCGGGTGGTTCGTAGGAGAACCTACCTAACACGCCGCATGCCCACAGTCCACGGCAGGCCACAGGCCACAGGCGGCCAAGCGCAATACAACGGTTTCTGGTTGTCGGGTGGTTGTCTGTCGTGTCTGTGTGTGTGTGTGTCCCATCTATTCTGACGCCAATCTACCCAGGTTTCGGCGAATACTTATATTTGACGGGTCAGCCAGGATCACGCAGTGTTGCTTTTATTTATTTTCCAAATGAAATGAAAAGGTGCCTTGTTGCTCCCAAACAAACACGGTGGCAGTCGGCAGTTTTATGTGTTTGAGTTGGGTCGGGGTGAACCTGCCCTTCTATTCGAGGGGAGCTTGATTCGGAAGGAAGGGCAGGTGCATGGGAGCATCTGTCTGGACCTCAGCTCCAAGTGGGTCGAAATTGGGCGCAAGGTGACTCGCGAATGGCGCGCTTGCACGTTTCAACTGCAAGCCTCTGTGAACCTGATTCTCCGCGCCCTTTGCTTCATTAGGCAGTTGTCAGCACCCGCACCCGGTGACGGCGTTTTAACTTTTTTGTATTATATCCTTCCACATAAATCTAGGCACTTTCTCGACCCAGTATTTGAGAACGAGCTCCCCATCCGCGTATCGTAATAATCCTAGCCGGGAACCAGGAGCGTGCATCGCGTCCTTCAGTGCTATTACTAATCATGCTCCGTGGTGTTCTCACCCACACCAAACAACAGAACCGCGTCTGATCTACGCACACACGACGAAAGGTGCTCGTCGCCGCAAAAAAGCGGGGCACCTGACAAACAGTGCTCGTTCACTCTCCTCCGTTTCATTGCCGTGACCTCTGACACCGCGACGCTTAAAGCTTCAGCTTTCCCGTCGAAGTTATATCCCTCCCCCATCCCCCGTCCCCCGCTGGTCACCTTAAACATCTTTCAACACTTCCGCCGCCACAGCGTGATCTGTTAGTGGGTGTCACAGCGCACGGGACGAAATGCCATTCTGCATAACCCCCTCACGATTGCACTCGCCCGCCTCTATGTACCCACGCGACTCTCAAACTCAGCTGGCCGCGACGGGGCGCCGCGTGGCGTTCTTGCATCCATGTTCGCGACCTCGATCCCTTGGATCATGACGGACGTCAACTGTCAAGTTTAAGCCTTGTCATACCTAGCGGCGTTGCTGCGTCCCCCGCCAAGTCGACCAACTCTCCAATCACCGCAACTCTTCTCCCGAATCACCGCTACAATCTTCAACGCACACCCTAACCAAATGTACCCCCCCCTCCCCCCCCCAATCCCAACCCGCAAAACACCCAACAAAAAAAGAGAGAAAAACATCTCATCCAAACCCTCAAAATTCGGTCAAACTGTCGATAAATCAAGCTGACCGACAAACCCGTCGCTTAAGCCTCTCAGCCCGATGCCCGCAACACACCCACCATTTACAGCCACTCATGTCTCCTCCATTGTCCCATCGTCAACAACAACCAGCCGGGATCGGCCGTGGCCGTTCTCGCAGCAGATGAGTAAGCGTATACGCCGGGGCACCAAAAACAAAACAACTAACTGCCCATAATTGCCGGATCACCCGCAACGTCCACCAACCAAGCGGACAAAATTGCCGCAGTATCTCTCATTCCAAACCCTTCCACGCGCCGGGGCGGTAGGGGTGGGGAGGGCAGGGCTGCGCCAAATATGCCAAACCAAGTGAAGGCCGCTTCAGTTCCAGGGAAGGTTACGGGTACTTCCCCGCCTTCCCCGCGACACGGGGCAGAGGCTTCGTACCGCTAACACCGGCACAGGTAAACATCTGTGCCCGGTCCGTCGTGAGGCCCTTGAGCACGACTTGCAGGTCCTGCGTTAGCAAACCGCATCAGGGTGTGGGAATTGAGATGGAAGGGTCAGCGGGCGGAATAAGAATGCAAAACGGTGGATACCACCATCCCATGTCGGGAATAGACACAAATATACTTCTACGGCAAACAAAAAACATAAACCGGGGTATTGCGCTATTATTGCAACGTTTTCTTGGTGGCAAGGTATCCCGCATCATAGGGCTCGTTCGTGCGTTCGACGGGTACAGTGGACGTGCTCCGACACTGCTGTTGAATCACGTGTGTCTGGGGGCGGGGCGCAAACGAACCTGTGCGGTTACCGCTTCTACGACCGCCGGGAGGTCGTTGACGCATCTCAAGTCCTTTCCGGGCAAGCAGTCCATCTGGAGACCGCTCAAGAGGTCGCACC